TCTTCCAGTTCCCTTGGGAACGAATAAAAATTAACCGAGAAGCATTCGTAACGATGGAAAATAATCCAGTTTTGAAATATAAAAATTTCCTCGCGCGATATACGAAACGACGTAGCAGATATTAGAAACGATTCTCGCGAATCGCGAAGTTTCGAGCGTGGCTGTTGGGTGCGCGACACGGGAAACGAGCGGCCATGCTTCACGGCGCATTGTTCCAAGCGGTGAAGGATCACGCAAGGGCCCCCCTTTGTATTCCGACGAGGCACCCCGAGCATAACTTTTCTCGGCAAGACTTCGCGCTTGTAATGTCGGCTCCGCGACGAAACACCGTGTCCCAAGCAACTTTCCGCCGGTTGCGAGTCTCCCAAAGCGGTACGCGACCGAAACAATGCAGCTCGCAAGGTTTTGTCTCCCAGACGTAACATCTGTTAGAAGAGATTCCGGGCTCGCGGACGCGTTTCCGTGATTAATCGTCGCGGGTTGGATCGATCGAGCGTGTAACAGGATCGAGTCGTGCAAGCCATCCAACCGGCGGTAGTATTACGCTAATTAGAATGCATTTATTAAATCAATCGGATGCTCGTTATTTATTAACGATCCCCCTTTACGCCGGAGATTCGTGGTGTTGCACGCTCGCAGCGGATTTATCGATAAGCCGTAACGAGGACGCAACCAGGAAGCGTGCGCCGTGAAAAAAGAAGAAGAAGTCCGTTCGGTATACAAATTACGGGAATATCGATAGCATCGTTCGTTAGCACGGACCAATTGTAGCGTAACTAGCTACTCGGACGCGATTCCTTATGCGTTTATCAAATTTCCTCGCGAATATCGAATTCCCTTGCCTGGTCTTTCGATCGTTCCATTTGAAAACCTATAAATCAACTTTGCTCCGAATAATTATTCCACCGCGACACCTTTATCCACTGGCGTGTTCTATTTGAAATTCTAATCGAGTCGCGCGAAGAACGTATGAAACATCGAATGTTCTTCGATGACACAGCCAATGTATCCGTTGTTAAAAGTCGCCCGATGGAAAACACGTCGTTCGAAGCAGTTAAGAAGGTGGTTCGACGCGGAAGGATGAAGAAGAGAATGGGAAAGGAGACGGAGAAAGGTGCGGAGGCGTGTCCGCGTGTAAAGTCCAGCGGGAGAAGACTTCTGGCGTGGGCTAGGCGAACGAGCAGCCTTTGCCGCATAATGGATGACTTCCTAACGACACTTTAAGATAGTTCTCACTCCTCGACGACCAGTGTTTTTCCTTCCCTAGTAAAATGCCTGCCCTCTCGTTATGTTGCACCAGCGTGGATTCAACTGCGCGATGCTGAAGGACCAAGACACCGAAGAATAATAGATTTTTTGCCAATTCCTTCGTTTGCTTTACCAACACCGATAATTACTTAAACGCGAGACGCTGTTAAGGGCTAGGACCTTTCGTATGCTTTTTATTTGGGACACTGATTACTGCCGCTTATTGATTAACGCGTCTAGAAAACGGTAATCTTCAGATGCGTATCTTTGGCAATAACAGTTACGAGAAACTTATCGTTTCAATTTCGCCAAGTTTTCGAGCGCTTCAGTTCCGCTGGAATGGAAGAATCCATCGGGATGATGAATCGCTTCGTCGTTCACGGATTAACGGTGCAAAGAGCACTCTGGAGGATAGCGAAATTTATAGGAGCGACCGCGATGAAGCGCAAAAGCACAACAGTTTTCTCTGAAATTTCTTGCCGAGGTATTTTATGTACTTTCCGCCTCGCGTTCCCTACGGCTAGTTGACAAGAAGGGGAAGAATTGAAGGAATCGCGCGAAAGGGCAACAAGCTTGGTTAACGCGAGCACGAGACTCCTTCGGGACATTAAAAACTTTCTTTCCAATTTCATGATTCTTTTTTTTAAGACCAACCGAGGCGTCGAGCAACGTCGTTTAATACCGATGCTCGTTACTCGCTTTCCCATTGTTTAACGCAACCGTGGGTTACAAATATTCAAAATTCAAAAGAAATTTTTATTCCTTCGTATTCGCAACGATGATGTCGTTAAAAGAGCGACGACGCTCAAAGACGGCGCGACCGGAAGCTTTGTGTCCTTTTCGGGTATTCAGATCCGCGTCTTATTCGCGAAGACATCTTCAGAGCACTTTGTTGCAATTTTGCTGGGAATTTGATACGATCCATTGGATTGCAAAGTGCAGTGGATGCGAGCGTGTCTTTGTGGGGGATGTAAATGAAAGGACGTTATATATAATCGTCTTGCAATAAGAGCATTTAAACTACCCCCTTTTGTCATGAGCTCTCGTAACGTCTAGGCGTTTTCGATGTAACACGACTACACTCATCTACAAGCGTTCGAAGACATTTTATAAAGTGTTAACCCAAGTCTAAATTACAAGGTGTTACAAGCAAACAGTATGTCGCATCTGGATCATAAACGGTGATTAAGCCGCGATATTCTATTACAACAGGGTGTACAGTGGAAAATGTGGCATAGGAGGCTATGAATTTAACACAGTAATTGCTACGTTACCTCAAAGTTGCACGGGTGTGTAATTCTAATTAAAATTACATGGGAATGAATAATTCAGTACTCGTGCCACTTAGTATTCCCGTGGGTGATGAAACGAGCAGATCTGACGTTACGATCATCTCTCTGTCACGTCCTGAAAAACATTCATGAAAATTGAAAATACCGAATGTAGGATGTAGCGATTAACGGCAGATGGAAGCAGAGAGGAATGAAAGAGGAGTGCAATCCGGTGCGTCCACCCCGTGTCCGGCACGCGATCAATTTTCCACTACCCCGAAATTTCTCGATACCTTTTTCCGCGGGCCGCCAAAAAGAAGGGGGGAAAAAAATAGTTGGGTACGTCGTGACGCATATCCCGCGAAGGCATACCGTCGAAGCTTTAAATTCTCTGGTAATCCATCCAGGACACGAAACGCCAGGACATTGATACCGATAGCGCAAGCGCACCGCACTACGTCAACGAGATACACGCCCTGCACGAGGGCACAGGTACACGCACACGGCCACGGCACTCTCTGTACAGACGTGGCTGAAAGTGGCTCGTTGGCGCGATCCTCGCCGCGAGAAGCATTGTCCTGACGGTAGAAATAACGTGCGGCGTGCGGCTATCGCGATTTGATTCCGATTCGTGGGGGAACATGGCCGGCGATATCGAGGGATATCGATGAAAAATAATCGCTGTGATTTGTGACACAGCGTAGAAAGCTCGCGATAAAGATACGCGACGATGAGGAGACGATAAAAAAAAAAAAAAAGGAAGGGGCGTTGGGAAGGAAAAATTTATCGCGTTCTCGCCCTCGACCGCTCGCGAGTCCGTTTTTCCTCCGGACACACAGTCGGAAACAAAGCATCGTCGATGGCTCGTATTTTGTGATTCTTGACAACGAGCCCGACGGGGGAAGAGGAAATATCTCGTTGTGTGAATAAATTTCATACGCAAAGAAACACCGCGCGGTTGCATAACTTGGTGCACCTTGAAAAGTTTCGCGTCCTCTCGTTCTTCTCCTGTCTCGCATACCATCGCCACGGTAGCGATACCTTTCACGCGTTTTCCAACCATCCAAGCTCGCGTTTAAATCATTCGATGAACGATTGCCACCGGACAAGCTGCTTGTCAGAGGCTCTCGCGAGGTTCTCACGACGGCTCACATCGCGAGGATTCTTTGGGACATAGTCATGCGAGAAAATAGAATGACCGATCGTTTGATGATGATCCTGACTGAGAACCGACATAGAGACGTTTGTCGAATTTTATATCACAAAGAGAAAGCATATGGAAATATCACTGGGTTAATTAGTAATTAAGAAAGTAACATGAAATCTAGCGGTGGAGTGCAAGAAACATGACCGATCGATTCCAGCATTTACACGTTTACCTCTACATTCCTCTGACTGCGTTCGCGGTCTCGCAGTTATTACAAAGCACACGCTATTCGTGTTTATACGAAATTCTAAGTCTCTTTGAAGAGCCTATTACTTCGTTTCTCGACTCCGTCAGTGAAATGATTAGAAAGCAATCGAGAAAATTACGTGGTAATTTCCCTCGGAATCCATTTCATCCCTCGCATCCTTTAATTAATTAAAATTATCGGCAAGTAAATGGCCGCATCGTATCAATGAACAAGGAACGAACGAGCAAAAGGAGAATAAGAAGGAAAAAGAAGATAAGAACAACGATGGAACGTCGATTATACGAGGGTTCAAGGTGCTTTCCACCTATTTCTACCTTCCCCTCGCTTCTCCGCTCTTTTTGTTCGGTTCGCCTTCTCTGTGCCGGCCGATTCGTGGATTACAGCCGGGACTATTGGCAAGCTTAGCTCGTGGTCGATTGCCTTTACGAGTTACCGAGCATTTGCGTATTTCACGTCGGACCGTTATGACTGCGACCACAGGAAGAGTACGGACGCTTATCCGGCAAAGGATCGACCGATTCGGGATTCGCGACTCCTCTTTGCCCAAGCCTGACAGGATTAACGCGATACGCGTATTCTCGCCCGGCCACATACGCCTCTGTTATAATCCTTTCGATTATCTTTCTCTCCTGGTGAACTCGGGGTAGTCGGATTTACGACGGAAACGATTTTTGATGATCAGCGCCTCGTTCATTCTATTTCTGCGAATCGAACAATGGTATCTATAACCAGTTATTTATATATTTTATTTATTTCATTCAATATTTGAAATCGAATTGAGTGGTCGGGCAATTAGCGAGTACATCTACTTTAGTATTCCGTTTGACGCGTTAAATACTGCATTGGGTATTAATAATTATTACGAATTTAGTATAATTAAATGATTAAAAGAAAATACAATTAGAGAAAATTTTAAATGGTATTAACAAATGTAAAGTTCAATTGAAAAATGAAATTAGGGTATTCTGGATAATTGTAATTACAGTGTGACTGAAAGGATTAATCAACAAGTGCTGTAATTTATTTTGACCATATACTAATACACATCATTCTTTTTATGTTTCAGGTGAGTTTTCCATGACTACTTCCGAAGGACTACAAAATCTTCAAAATTATGGTATGTAGGTACAAATACAGAATTTCATTAGAGTATGATATCTGTAGGATTCTTAACATTTTGAAGATTAGGGTCACGTGCGTTTGAGTGACTCCCTCGAGGGTTTCTTTTATTATGCTCCGTTGTTTTTCGCATTTTCACCCGCGCCAACAAAAATCCATCGGTCCTGACGTTATCGGTGACAACTGTATCCACGGAAACAGCTTACCCACCGATTCGAGAAAACACGGGATCCCAGGCATTCCGGTTTTTTTCGAATGCCTGGCGCACTTTCGTTCTGGCTGCGTCCCTTGTCCAGCGGGTGCAGGACGAGTGGCATCGGTGCATGACCAGAATCGATTATGTTTTTCTCGACGGACGCGAATTAATGAGAGTCAACGGCTCACGTGAATTCCAACTCTGTGGACGCAGACGTAGCTGTCGATCGAACGGAAGGGACTGAGGGAACATCGAGTCGCGTGTTATCGGAACGACGCGACTAAATGCTTCAAGTATAAGCCTAATGCCAGGCCCCGAGGCCTAATCGTCGTATGCAAATCACAGGGCGGCTCTTGCCACATTCGTATAATCAATGGTTTAACGCTGGCGATCGATACCGACACGGCGGACGCTCACGTATTTTCCAAACGTACTCTAATTCGACGTTCCCTAATTTTCCCGACAATTTTCGTACGTGCTTTTTCGTACCAGACGACGCCGGTACGGAGGGTGCTGACGAACGAGCCTCTTTTTTTCGAGAGGGTGGCCCCTTCGCATCGTCACGCTTACCACGAACGTTTCTTCCTCTCCAAGGGGAGGAAAATTGGTGACCAGCGTCGATTTTCTTGAAATTTTCTAAGTGGATTGAGGATCGAAAAATACCAATCGACCTACCCTCCCTTGTCGGTCGATTCTAGGTGTAAATAATTCGTGCCACTGTGAATTGCACTTTCAATGAATCTTGATGTTCGAGAGATTTTAATTCCACTTTCAATGGAGTTCGTTGAAAGAAGAACTCGTTTCACCGTCATAATACTTTAAGAAGATTAAATTGATCAGTGGAATTACTGTTAAGGGTATCAGGCTAATGTACATTCTTCGCTTGATAAACAGACATTTGTATTTCCATCTTTGTAAAGGAGACTCATTAATTTGCATACGTTTAAAATCGGCGATTCTCAAGCCGCTTGACATTCGCGTCACTCGTCGTTCCTCAAGGTCTCATTTATACCCGGATCAAAGTCTGAACGCCTCCACGGATGTCCAGCCAATATTCGTGAACGTGGTACAATGAAAAAGTGACAAAATGTCTGGTAGAACAGACCGAGATACCATCGGGGAACAAGAATTTCTACGTCGTCAACACGCCGCTCGACAACTTTTTAACTATGCCACTTCACATTTCGCAGACACCGTATCGATCTTCCATGTTATTCTTTTTTTATTTTTCTGTTCCTTGCTTCCCTCCCTCCGGCTCTGGCCAACGTATCACGGCCGGACAGTACGGCCGTCTGTTATTTCAAGCAACGACCGATTAGCATAATCACACGGTTCTCTCGTCGCGAAACTGTTCTCCAACGTAATCTAACGCTGTAAGCTCTCGGAACGACGGGGCCAAGGCGACACGTGCTGCATATATCGAGCCTTCTGTACCTACAAGCATACCTTTCGATCTTAAAATTCCACCTGAAGAGGAGCCAGCAGATGGAACGAAACCCTGTCGAGAATCCGTTCGATTCAAAGTATACATCGTTCACAATTGTTAAAACATTGTAGCTGAAGTGGACGGGCAGAAATTCTAGGTGGATCGTTTTTCGACCAGAAATGAGAAGGAATTCGAAGAGAGGGTGTCTCGGGAAAATCGAGTTACAGGGAGGAGGAAATTTCTGACGAGCCCAGAGGGTTAAGATAAATCGGCGAGAGGGTATCGATCAGCCGGAGGAAAGGAAAAGAAGCGGCGAGCATTCGGGCTACGAGAGGCATCCAGATTCGGGAGACTTTACGGTCCATCGCTCCTCTTACAAAGCGTAGATTCCAGCTTCTTTCAACGGGCTAACGAGCCGAAAGGCGGAGGGTAAAAAAAAAAAAAAAGGAGCAATTACGGGCTCGCCTCCCAGGGAAATGGCACGCTTAAGCGCCGCGGGACAATGGGACCCCAGCGCGAAGATGATTTTATTTTCGTGTGTACGATAATTGCGCCTCCAGCGGTCGCTTACTTCCAGTAATTTCGCATTTTCTGCTACGTTTGTTTGCCTCTTATTTTATCAACCTTACTGCGCCAAACTATCCGACTACCTTCGACTGGTACAACAATCATAAGGTTCTTTATGCAACGTTGCACTTAGCGATTCACGGATAGAAACACAATGCTTCGCTTAATTATTACGTTTCGATTAAGCGTGGAATCTTGAATGTTCGCGGCGCTCGTGCGTGTACACGTGAGATCACGATGGGAACAAAGGACAAAAGAAATAACCCGGAGTCGAAGGGCCGAGGGCAGCGTTCTCCAGCGTGGAATTTCGACTTCGCGATTGCATTGTACGCGTAGATCGTTCGATTCGATTAACGCGAGAATCGTGCGTGAGCAACACGCGGAAGACATTTCTACAAATTTTTGCCGCACATCGTAATCCTTGCATCGTCCCAGGCAAAAGTATGCGGCTCTTTCTTTTCCTCCGTGGATTCTAAACGCATCGCATTGTATTCTCAAGGATAAGATTTATTTTTTTAAAGAAGGTAAAGGAGAGTATTAGCGTAGAAAAGTGACACCTATCAATTTGTGCATCTAATAGACTCGATTTCTTTTCAACGCGAAAAACGATGGAGACCAATGAGAGTAATCTTGAGCGAAGAATTTTAATTAAAACCCACGGTTATCAGGCTTGTGTTACCAAACAGATGCTGGAACCGTTGAAAGAACATCGAAAGATACCACGGAATGACGAACGAACGACGCTCCAACGAATCCCATCCTTTTTCACCCCTCTCCGTTGCTTTAGGGAGATCGTCACGCGTATTATTTATTCACGTCATGGTCGATGGGGATTGAAGAATGCCCGAACGTCCTCGTTGGTAGCTGAAAGGTGCACGGAAGGGAGCGGCAACTGTGAAGGGGGTGGCAAGAGGGGGAGGGGAACAGGACAACGAGGATGCGAGGAGTAATAAGTCGAGATAACGAGCTTTTCGATGCCCCTCCTTCCTCTTCCAGCATCGAAACGGAAAATTAATTAAGTGACTCCCAAGGTTCGCCGGGTATTCTTAACCTTCGAAGACACAATGAACGAGAAATTGTGCGAGGGAGAAACGGAGAAAGAAATAGCCCGATTTCATCGGTTCAGAGGGAGACGGGCAGAGGAGGAAGATAGCCGGCTATCAGGGTCATTAGTTACGGATGTCCCGTCCGAACCGGGACCACTCTCGTCTCGATAAACAGGAGGCCCTTCGGCTGAGACAGTCAGAGAGAAAAGAAAGCGGCCCAGCGGGGGGAGGTTTCGAAGATAGGGGGGTAAAAAGGGAAGAAAGAGGCCAAAAGGGAAAGGTAGAGAGGGGAAGGGGAGCCTGACCGAGGGCTGGAATAATAATTATAGGGCCGGTAATATAACGGTCAGCGTGCCCGTTATCTGGCACTCTTAAAGTGCACTACGTTGTTTGGAAGATAGGAACCATCCGCGTCGCTTTCCGTTTCTCGTCACCGTCGCTCATCTTCTCGCCTTTATCAGGTTCGTCGCGTCTTTTCTCCTTCCATTCGTCTCGTCTCCTCGAAATTCGTCGGACCAGATCTTGTCCAGGAAGTTCGATACCATGTATCGACGTCCCAGGAAGTTCCTCGTCCAAGTAGAGATTATGCACCCTGCTTAAGAAGCTTATTACATTTTTTCGGGTGGTAAAGTATAACAATAACAACTTTCTTGCTACCAGCTTTATTTATTATTAAAAAATGATTCGAATGAGATTACAAAGTAACACGAGCAGAGAATTTTGAACAGATTTAAAAAAAAAAAAAAATGTTGAAATTTCCTCGTCACGTATCTTCAGGTGAATATATACCGATTCTCGACGCATTCAGCGTGACGAATCACGATCGTCGGACAGGAACGCAGGACACGCGTGAAAAGAGCGGCGAGTCAATGTCTCTGGCCAGCTTTCAAGGAAGATACCGAGAGATTTTCAACGACTTATGGGAGCTGCCCGTGAAGCCGTGGAACAGTGGCAGGGGGGAGAAGGTAAGACGGTCCGGATGGACCTTGCAGAGGTCGGTAAGACCCGGTGAAGTAGATTGCACGGGTGTCACGGTTAATCGGATAACTTAGAATCGAAAGCCGGACTTTGACTCTTTCGTGCGCCGAATCACGCTCCTTCTCGGCGTGTTATATATAATCGACCGGGTCTCGAGAAATACCGGTGTACCGTGGCGAAAAATTAATCGAGACGATAATCTTGGGGGGGTGATCATTCAGAGAAATATTTCTTTCTTTACGCTGATAAATGGCTGGACGATAAAACTGTAACGTCGATAGATGTTGTACAAGGACAGACTTTCGGCTGTGGCTTGATTAAGATATTGAAACAAGCTCCTCCAAGTATAATTAACAAAGGTACATAATACGATCACGATGAACCAGCATGTTGAATACATTAGGTTTAGCTTGATTAATAATGATAACTGCATCAAGTGTTTGCTAACGGGCCTGTTTCCTCTTCGCTTAATTAGTCTTTTATAAATGACAGTAGAGCAAACATGTTAGTCGACAAGTATCATTTATGCTTTCTGTATTCTTTAACAGTTTGAAGGATGGAATAATAGAGGCAATGCAAAACGGAATTAACATAGTATGTTATAATAATAATAAGAAAGGGTTGTATAAAGAGAATGCAGCCTCTCTACTTGTCAGCTCTTTTATGTACTTCATGTACAGAGACGTGTGCGTGTCCGCGCGATCCACTCGAGCAGATAGCCACTTTGTGCGTGCAAGAGCGTGAAAATCGCTGCGGCGAGAAAGGGTCGGCCGGTAATCCGAGGC